AAGCCTGGGGTTGGAGTGGTTGGAAAACATTTGTTTCTGATTTTCTGTTGACAGTGGTCCCAAGGATCACGTGTTTGTTTATTTCACTGACCACGGAGCTCCAGGACTTCTGGCTTTTCCCGATGACGACGTAAGCATTTCAGAGGATCAATCTGGAGTTTGTCATAAAGAACACTTTTTGTTACATACTAAAATACTAAGTAGTAATATATTAAAGAATTTTACACACTTCCATATTTGGCAAGCAAAGGAGCCATAATCTCCTTATCATCCTAGCTTGGGTTTTTTCCCAGTTTTAAGCTGAATAATGCAAATATCCAAGTATCTACATATTTAGTATTTTATTGGACATTGGTGATCCAAGCAGACTGTTCCACACAGGTACAACTTAGCTAGACTCTTTATACTTTGGGGCACAATTACTCATCTTTTCTAGAGTGATAAGCATTGTTTCTGAAGGACAAAACACTGAATGTATTTAAATGGAAGCAATAAAAAAAATCTTGACAAAAGCTAGCCATTATTCCTATTACCTGAATTGCTTGCTTACTGAACAGGAGTAGTTTTATTAAAAAAAACTCTTCTTATTTTACAGCTTCATGTGAAGGACTTGAATAAGACCATTTGGTACATGTACCATCACAAAAAATATCAAAAGGTAAAAAAAAAAAAGGATGTTAGAAGTTGTGAGATTAAAAGAGAAGCTGGTGTAGAAGAGAGGTTTGTCTGCACTTCCAGAATGTGTTTAAAGCATAGGGAGTCTGATGCCATGTAACGAAGTTTGGGTTTTCGCACAGAAGGACTGATGATATCCACATTTCTCACTTATTTTTCAGTTTATAATGTATTTGCAGTCAGTGTGGAGATGTGTTTGCAGTCAGTGTGGAGATAAAGCCCAGTCTTTTTGTAACTGTCTAATTTGACCAACAGTAGAGAAATAACATCCCCAACTAGCAGACCCTCACAGTTTGCTCCTGACTTGTCCTTCCTGTGCTTTGTTCACTGCAGGCTGCACTGCTGCTACAGGAAGCTTGTATATGTTTTATGTTTCACTTACAGTAACTAATATAGTTACAGACAGTCCAGTTAATTACTAATAAAATTTAAGAGGCTCCACCTCTTGTCAGAGACTTTGATCAAAAGCAAAGTAGTTTTAAACAGAAAAACTAATATTCAGAACATTTTAGCAGCTTGGCCTTTTAAAGCATTGCAGTTAGCTATATTTAAGAACACATGAGTAGTCACAAAACTTTCAGAAATATTGCTTTTTTCAATGCTGGTACACTGCTGTACCTAAAGACTAAGCAGGTTATTTGATATATACCGAATTTATCAGTTGATCTTTGTGGATTCTGTATAGATTAACTGAACTGTCTAATTCCCATTTTCCCTTTCCACATGATTTAGTTTGCAAAGTGAAAAACATGTTTATATCCTTTTTGTTTTCTTTTGTAGCATTATAGACAACTTCTGTTTCAGGGATGTCAGTGCAGATCAACTAGTTGCAGCTGAAGAGCACTGAAGGACTTTTCTCCATTTTCCTCATGAAATTTCTTAAAGTCTCTGACTTTTTTTTATAGATGGTATTTTACATTGAAGCATGTGAGTCTGGATCTATGATGAATCATTTGGCTGATAACATCAATGGTGAGCAATTACCTAATCTATCAGGCTTGGATTTTTCAACCTACCATCTGCTCAGAACGTGCCTGTGGCATGGCAGGGATAGGTTCACTGCACTTCCATATAGTTTTAGCAGGTAAACACCAGTGTTAGAGAAAGCAGGATTCTCCATTAATTGGAAGTTCCTTTATTTATTTTTTTTTAAAAAGGATAAAATCCTGTAAATAGCATCCAGATTTTTAGTTTCTTGCAACTGAGAAGTTGAAATAATATTTGATTTCAGAAACTACATGGTACTGACCATGTATTAAACTTATTGTGACATTTCTCAGCTTTACTACAGTCCAGTTGTGGAGTTTCAACTCTCAGTTTCCTTGAGAGGTAGAGGCACTTCTCATAAATGAGAGCCAGGCAGTTTTACTACACTGATTGAGCAACAAGTAAGGCAACTAATTTGAAGCGACAGTGGGTTTTTTCCTCCCCTATATTGCAGGGTGGGCACATTCTTCCCTAACCTCCTTCAGACAGGATGCAGTTGGCAGCAAGAAAAGACTTCTAATTATTCTGTTCAAAGCCAGTATCAGCGTTGTAAGAATAGAAGCATCTTTCTTTCCTCCCTCTTGCTATTGAGAAGTAAATGATTGAAAGAAAAAACATTTAGCAGCATGTGATATATTGCTTAAGTATTGAATGAACTGGGAAAAAAAAAAGACTATTTTCGATTTGTCTTACAGTTTATGCGACAACTGCTGCCAATCCCAGAGAATCATCTTATGCCTGTTACTATGATGATGAAAGGCAGACTTACCTCGGCGACTGGTATAGCGTGAACTGGATGGAAGATTCTGATATGGTAAGTTGCTTAGATGAAGTTTGTGTTTCCATGCATGATAATCACCAGGTTAAAAAAAAGCAACAGGATTTAGGAAAATTTTTTGCTTTTATGCAAAATTGAAATCCACAAATTCTGAGTTGGTTGACGTATTTCTCTACTCTTCAATAGAATATGTAATCTTTGCTTGGACAACTAAACTTATTTCAGAAGCTTGATTTCAGTTGCATGTTCCTGTTTTGTGAATAGTAAAATTATAAACTGTCTGCCTTCTAGTTTAAAACTCACAGAATCCAGATTTGCTCTTTGGAGACAACATCTCTAGTTTGTTACACAAATTAGGCAGTAAAAAATTGTACATCAGCTTCAGGAATCCTTAAATAGCAAACAGTGGGTAACATTGCTTAATATAATGGAAATCACTGTTAGTGAAAAGTCTTGGACTCTTGGGCTAGCCCCATTCATTCCCAATTACTGAGAAATCTCTGAAAGCAATTTGAGAATATGTTGTCAAATCTTTATTTGAATTTTTTGCTCTAATGTCTTTAAAGGGTATATAGCTCTTGCCATGTATTTCCTTCTATCTCTTGGCAGCTAAGACCCTTCCCGAGTTTCCTTGCAATTTTAGAATAGCTGTATTTAAGTATATATAATCACATGGAAGTTTCTTGTTGCAGGAAGATCTAAGAAAAGAAACACTCCACAAGCAGTTTCAACTGGTGAAGAGACGCACGAACACCAGCCATGTGATGCAATATGGAAACAGGGTATGTATTTGGATGGGCTTTCTGGTTAGATACATCATTGAGCCTTACCTGACCTATATTTGCCACATCATGGCAATTTCAAAGGGAATGAAAAGTTGGTTAGAAGATGAAGCTGTTCGTCCAAAAGAACCCCTTAGCATTTGAGAGCAGATGGACCTGATGCTAAAGGAAACACCGCTTTGGTCTAAAGCAGGGAGCTGGAAGTCAGCAGGAGTTGTCCTCCAAGCTCTGTCTGTGATTTAACAGTTCAGATCAGTCACCTATAAGAAGGTGTAGTTACCCCTATCATGCATATTTTGAACACTAATGAACGTTAATAAGTGAACCCATGCATAGAAGGAGCAAAGATATATATCTTGTTGATGTGTGATTATATATATTGATATATTATACCATTTATAATAGTTCCTTTATACAATGTGTTAACAGGAACATACATGCCATTTGTTTAAAAAAATGCTTAATCTGATACTCCTTCCCCTCAAAGAAGCTATGGAAATAAAAGCTCTAACTTTTGGCAGCCTTGATTGTGTTAGAGAAGATATTTACCACCCTACAGACTCCCTTGTTTTCTCTAATAAAGCAGGTCCAGAAAGTTAGCAGGTTTTCATGACAAAACAAAGGCAGACTACTTACTGCAGATGCTTCATTTCCATTTGTTTGCTTTCTAACATGCAGAGCATCTCCTCTATGAAAGTGATGCAGTTTCAGGGCATGGGAAAGAAAGCTATCCCCATTTCTCTGCCACCTGTAAAACACTATGACCTGACTCCCAGCCCTGATGTGCCTCTTGCAATCATGAAGCGAAAGCTGATGGCTACTAATGATGTTTATGAGGCTAAGAAGATTGCAACAGAAATGAAAACACACTTGGAGGTAAGAAACAAAATACAAACAGAAAACCAAATTACATACCAGGTCAGATTCAGTTCTATCATAACCAATGCCAGAGATCATAGCCTTGAAGTCAGTGAGATTGCTTCTGATCTTTGCTAAACTGCAACAGAATTACTACTCAGATTGGTAACCTATAGCTAATGGCTTACCACAACTTTAAAATTTCAGGTGTTAAAAAAAGAGAAATTTAAAAGCACCTTTTAAAATGTTCTCATCTTGTGTGCAGGCTAAAGAATTTATCCAGGAATCTATGCGAAAGATTATCACCTTAATAACAGGATCAAGAGAACAGACCAACCAAGTTCTGTCAGACAGGTTGACCATCAGCAATTACGACTGCTACCAGGCAGCAGCAAACCACTTCAAAGCTCGTTGCTTCAACTGGCATCTTCCTGTGGTAAGTCAGGCATCAGATATAACCTATTCAGGTACTGGTTCAAAAAATCACAGCGATTGCAGGCAGGTCTGGGGAGGCGGGAGACACAAACACACACACACACACACACTAGCAGTGGACGTTAGTTTTGGAGAAATCTTTCTGGAACCATCCAATCCCTTCAGTACACTTGTGGATAAGCCAGACGATTACAAAGAACACCTCACTAAAAAGACTTTTTTGTTACTGCTTCTTCAGCTCCTCTCCACAAGTCCTAATAATTTGAATAACTTGTGTTGTATTTCTGCTTGAAGCACTCTCTAAGAGCAAAGTAGAAGTGCAGCAAAAATAATAATAATAAATTTAAAACATCACTTCTTTTAATTTTAGGAGCTTTATTGTTCCTTTATGGGATCTCAATCAAGGATCAAGTCTTGTTGTGGTAGACATTGTTCAAACAAGAAAAAAAAGAGAAAAGTTCCGGTCCTGATGTCAAAAGATATGTACCTTAGACAGGCAGAGATGCCTGTTAGGATAAGTCAACAAGATAAACGAATCTTAGCAAAAAAGCAAGGAAATTGCCTGCCAATTAGCCAGTATTTAAGTAATCAAGTCATATGTATTTCCTCAAAAAGGGCTTATCTACAGGGCTATCAAGCAGTCATGTTGCTCTGCCTTAAACTTAGTTTCTCATCAGTTTTGTTTTGACTGAAGTTGGTTAGTTGAATATTGCCTGAAGGGGGGACCAGCAGCAACAGCTGCATTTACCTAATGATGTTCAAGAAGGGAAGAAAAACAAACAACCAAAAAAAACCCCAAACCCACACACACCTATTTGGCATAGTACTAGTTTATCAGCACCAGAAAATAACCCTGTGAATAGTAATGGCATCTCAAAATTACTTCCACCAGTTAGTTTGAATATGTAATCACTGTTCATGATCATTATTAATCATGTCTGTTCATTTCAGTATGAATATGCATTGAGACAGCTCTACGCATTGGTCAATGTTTGCGAAGGAGGATATCCCATAGACAGGTAACAGTTTCCAACTACCCTATGTAGTTTTATCTGTGGTCAGAAAAGTAGAAGCTAGCAGGAATTTGCAGGCTTCTTGCTTGTCCTGCTTTGTTGACCGTTTTGTTAGTAGAGTTCTGACTCTTATGTTATGAATGCTCCTTTTGAAAGGAAAATAAATATATTAGCACCTTTCCAATCACTTATAAGGATTCAGCTCCCTAGTAAATACTTAATTTACCTGAAGACCTTCAGGTGAAATTGCTCTACTTGAAGTAGCATGGTGGGTTTTACAGAGCAGGGATATTGTCCTGTGATACCTGTACACACTGACAAGGATGCAAAGTTAGAAACTGCTGTAGTTTCCCCTTTGACCACTCAGTTTCTGGCTCAGGATATTGCAGTATGACTGGGTTCTGGTGAGGAAATGCAATATGGCACTAGATAGGGCCCCCTGTCTGTGCATGAATGGTAGGGGAGAAGGGAGATAAGGATCCAGGCTGAAGGGTTGTAGTAGGGGAAATGGAAGCATGGCGCCAAATTCCTGAGTTGGGACGCTGTAATATGTGATAATGATTGAAATAGCAGCTTGCAAGTCATGCAGTAGTGAGAAGGGTGGGAATAGGGGAGGGGGGCAGAAGGCTGACACTTTAGGCAATGTGCACATGCAGCCCAGGTGAGCAGCTGCTGTCCCCACTCCTGGAAGCACCTTAGTACAGTTAACTTGGGAAAGCCAGTCTAAGAGCAGAGAACCTGGAACCTCTCTCATCATTGTTGTTCTCTGTTGCAGAATATTCCTGGCCATGGACAAAGTGTGCCTTGGATCAATGTAAACCTCAAATTAGTGGAAACAACAGCCCTTAGTCCTTAGGCCCTTACTACAAGTGATAACTTTTCATAAGTGTAATAATCCAGACTTTACATGCATGCAACATGAAGAGGGTCAACCACTGCATCAGTCTCAAGTACTGTGTTGGGCAGCTGCCCATAAGCAATATGGCACTTCAGTGCTCCCCCTGCCTCCCTGCTCGCTGACACCCTGGGGCTTCAGGAGACCACGTGGAGCTCTCGAGGTGGATGATCTGTTTCAACGTGCAATGCTTCAAGCATCTGTGGCTAAATACTGCAAGGCATCTAGTGATGATTCTAAAGCTATGCTAAATTTAAACTTTGATTCATTTGTTACAGAAAAATTTATATTAGTGTTAATTATTAGCTCTTTTTTTAAAAAATATTAATGAACATCCATTTACAGTGACCAAGTTGCAATGTGGTTGAAAAATGAAGAAACCAAAGTATATTATTTAAGCTTTAACTCCTTAAGAATTTAAAGAGAGGAGCTGCATTCAAGAATTATCATATGTGTTAAGCTGTGGACAGTAATGGACTGCAAGAGCCTTTGTCAGTAGAAAACATTGTTTCCCAAAGAAAAATGCAACTACTAATGCTGTAATTCTATCAGCAGTGTGAGATAAGTAAACATATGTTCACCCAAATCTGTGGGAAGTCAGAGTACAGAATTTGCCTGTGAATAAAAATAAAAGTTGGGAGTTCCATCCAACCTTCAGGGTAATGCAGTGTTATATGCCTCATTTCTGGACACAAGTAAGAGCTATTTCTTTTTGTGAGACTGTATTAAATGGTTATCTACCTATCTCAGCTGTTTATAAGGTAGACCATCTCAAAGAATGTTTCCTGACTTATTCCCTCAAATAAGAGGGGAATCACTCATATGACTCAAAGAATGACAAGGAGAGGAACAAATTAGAAGTTAGGAAATACTTCAAAATAGATCCAGATTGTCCATACTTTTTGTACATAGAGACAGAATACAAAAATACCTCCAAGTTATTTCCAGAGTATATTAAAAATATGAAAAGTTACCTCTACTTCAGAGGAAAAAGAGAAAGTTTTGGAGAAACTCCACCAGGGTCTATAGCATGAAAGGAATTCTAGTTAACTCCCCTCAGAGGAAGAAGGGAAGTCTCTTGAAATCCCTTTTATGTAAAGAAGAGCCCAGAAGCATTAGCGCCTTCAGCTGTCTGCAGTGGGAGTGAATGGGAGAAATCTCAGAATACAACTAGTGTCAAGGTAGGCTGGGTGAAGTGAAAACACTGTGAACTCAGCTTTGCCTAATTAAGCAATGGAAGTTCACGGGTGGGGGGAAGGTGTTGAAAATTCAGATGTTTCCTCTTTTTTGAGGAGCTTTTTATTTCTTTACAGTTGAGGAACTTACTAGACAGTGATAATCTATAAATGAGAGGACATGAATTTCTCAAGTGCTCAAATGTGCGGTGGGACTTGTGCTGGTAAGATTGTACCAAGGTTCCCCAATCAGTCTGAAAGAACAGAAAAAAATGAAATAACTTCCAGAAACTTGTTTGAATACATACTTTTATCTTGCCAGGCTTTTCAGGTCTCTGTTTAGTTTTTCTCTGCCCTAGAAATCAACAGCCACATAAAGCACTTTTCTGTAGCTGTATAAAGTAGACTTAAGCAAGCATTTGTCAGATGAAAAATCAAGTCATGGCAGTTGACTTGTTGAAGTCCCACAGCATGGTTTGAGTTGCTAGCACACGTTCTTGGTTTCACACCTAATGGATGTGCAGGTGGTGCTTGCACCTCATTAGCAGCACAAGCCCTGGCCCTCCTGCAGCACCTTGTCACTTCAGAGGATGCAAAACTGAGTGACAGCAGGAGGTTTATTCTGTCTAGCTTTCCTCCTCCGAGACTCATTGTGGAGGACTCGCCTGACCTTATGCCTGCTAGCATTCCCTTAGGAATATGCCTGAAATGAAAAAGTGAGGTAATCTGGAGATGATCCCACTGCACTACTATTCTCTCTGAGAATCAGTTGTCTTTTTTCTTCTTCTCTCTACCAAAAAGTAGAGAGTGGTGTTACGAAATTGCCGGGTCTTACCCAGAGATCACTTTTCCTTTGCAATCATTCAGTGAGCAGCCCTGCAGAATAACCTTTTTACCTTTTTTTTTAAAAAAAAAAAATAATAAAGAAAAATTACCCCCAAGCTAGCAGTGATCAATAGATTTGTTTTAAGGCCTCCCAGCAGTGTCACATCAGCTTAGTGCCTGTGTGGCGAGCTGCTTATGTTTGGATAGCATTAGAAACCCATGAGAAAATAAATTCAGGATTGTGCAAGATTAGTCTTGTGCCACAGCATCCTGTGGTGCGTTGTGCAAGCACCCCGAGCTGTCACACGGCACACAGCTGCTCAATGCTCTTACACTGTGGGGATGGAGGAATTCAGCTTCTTTAAAATGCCTAAAAATCTCAGGCTCTCAGTAAATTGCCATCACTACAGGGCAAAGTCAAGACTGTATCACGTAGAAAGACTTTTCCCGCCCAGAATAACTGGGCACATAGCTAGCCCCTGGGAAGAGTGCCTTCCTTGCTAGCCAGTTCTTCCTTGTCCCTCCTCTTGGTCGTTGTTGGATGCTGTGAACAATGTCCAAGCCCCTTTTTTGTGCTCATTCTGTGGCAAATCTCCTGGCAGAGGGTAAGCTGTGAACAATGTCCAAGCCCCTTTTTGTGCTCATTCTGTGGCAAATCTGGCAGAGGGTAGGAGGGGGGCGTCAGCACATCATCCTGCTGGGCACTGCTGTCCCCCTTGGGCCTCCAGGGATCCAGCAATCAATCTCCACGACGTACCATATGCTGACTATTTATATATACTGCGAATATATGTAGATGCAATTGTATTCAGAGCTTATATAACTGCCCTGACATCTTGAATAATGACAAGCAAAAGAAAATGCACTTGGAGTCAGAAATGGTGGAACATTCACAGATTCCAGGTTAGTATTAGATCAGCTCTGTCCAAAATGAGCTGTGCCTTCTTTCACCAGAATAACTTAAGATGAATGCCACATGTGTGAAGAGTTGTGTCTATTTCATGCCAGAGTTTGAAGGCCTGCAGTGGCCTGGGCTCAACCTCCTTGCTCTCTCTGAAAGTGATCGAGGAGCAGGAAAGGGAAAGGCACCTCTTCTTCTGTTAGGAAACTGAAGTTGTGACTAAGCAGTGTTTATTGCGTGTCTAGTGCTCAGGCAATTCTGAATTTACAGCCCCCTTCTTCCTAGAGACACAAAACCCCAGGAGACATCAGAGATGACAAAACATTACAACTCTGTCCCTTGCACTGCCGGCAGAGCTGGCCAGCATGACAGTGTAGCAGCGCCAACCAAGGAGGGTCCTGCTTACCAGGCGAATGCAAGGAAACAACTTTTCACAGGTGAACAGTTAAATGCCAGGACAGGCTGCCCGTGAGACGGGAATTCCCCAGCCTTGGAGGCTGCAGCACTGCAGGGCACCCTGAGCTCACTTGCTGCTGGCCCTGCTTTGAGCTGGGCATTGGACAGGAGAGCTCAGGGGTCTCTGTTCACCTGGATCACAACAGGAGCCCATGGAAAAAGGACAGTCTCCTGCTGGGTTTCAAAATACAATTTGGTGGCTGATCTCTCTGAAAGTTCTTCGCACTCCGCAGGCAAACTGCCTTGTCTTCAATGGTTTTTATTTTAAGTCATGTCTGACCTGCCTGAGCAATTATCTCAGTCAATTATTGCCAGATTGGGCACAAAGTGGCATTAAGGCAGCACTCTGCAGAAAGCAGCTACTCGGGCTGCTTGTTTTTTTCTCTTCAGAAGTTGCTGGGT